CATTCATGACCAGAGGGGTATTTCATTATTTCTGATTTCCTTCTGCAAGATCTGGCTGGATTATTTTATGAACTTTAGGCTGGTCCTAATCTTCATGGAGTAATTCCTACACATAAATCCATCCATCCATCATCCATCTATCCATTCAGCCATCCATCCATCTATCCATTCATCCATCCATCATCCATCTATCCAACCATCCATAAATCCATCCATCATCCATCCATCCATTCATCCATCCATTCATCCATCATCCATCTATCCATCCATCCATCATCCATTCATCCATCCATCCATTCATCCATCTATCATCCATCGATCCAACCATCCATTCATCCATCCTTCCATCCTTCCATACATCCAACCATCCTTCCATCCATCCATCCTTCCATCCATTCATCCATCTATCATCCATCCATCCAACATCCATCCATCCTTCCATACATCCAACCATCCATCCATCCTTCCATCCATTCATCCATCCATCCATTCATCCATTCATCCACCTATCATCCATCCATCCAACCATCCATCCATCCTTCCATCCTTCCATACATATATCCATCCGTCCATCCTTCCTTCCATCCATCCTTCCATCCATCTGTCCATCTGTCCATTCATCCATCCATCCTTCCATCCATCCATCCTTCCGTCCATCTGTCCATCCATTCATCCATCCATTCTTCCATCCATCCATTCTTCCATCCATCCATCCATTCATCCATCCTTCCATCCATTCATCCATCCATCCATCCATCCATCCATCTATCATCCATCCATCATCCATCCATCTATCCATCCATCTATCCATCTATCCATCCTTCCATCCATCCAACCATCCAATCATCCATCCTTCCATCCAACCATCCATCTTCCATCCATCCATCCATCCATCCATCATCACCTGTGGTGATGATGGATGATCTACTGGATCAGTAGATCTAGATCTTTGTCTTTTGTCGCAGCAATCTCTCGACACAACCCTCTCTTCCTGTGGCTGAAGCCCTGATCCATCTATCATCTAAACAAGACTCACAGATGCTTTAACTCCTTTTCTTGAKTCAAACGATCCTGCTCAATCCACAGGGAGCAGTCCACTTTAGTCAGGTCAGGAACCATGGCCTCGAGCTGACTCTCATCCCTGCTGCTTCAAACTCAGCTGCAAAACCACCTTAATGCAGGCTGAAAAAGTTCTGTTCTTCATTTCCTTCACCCATTCCTCCAGAACACACTTAAATATTGCTGCTTTGGTGAAAAAAAAAGCAGTTTTTGTTACTGAGCAGCTTGTTTAACGTGCAAACAACTAGTCGCTGAGAGGTTTTAAATATTTTAAATTCTCGCCTCCAACTTTTTATGAAGCTCAGAGCAGAAAACAGAATTGGCGAAGTGGGAAGTAGCTGTAGTATCCCACGTGTTTGCTGTTGTTTGGACCTAGTAGAGCAGTTTTATCTCCATGCAGTCAACATCGTGTCCAGTTTATGCTGTGCTTAAATTCAGTGAACCATTTGTTTTTATGGTCAGGATTTGACCAATCAGCTGCATCGCTCTTTCTAGGACCTTTTAACAGGAACATGAATGGATTTTTGTTGGATGTTTGAATAAAATAATGACACGATCATCCCTAACGAGGCCCTCAACGATGATCAAATGTGACTTCTTAGTTCAGCCGTGACTCTGGAAACATAATAATGCGTGTTTTTTAACGAGGATCTTTACTGGGAGACGATGGAGGCTGAATCATGTTCAGATCAGAG